TATCTTATTTTTTATTTTTGACATATAATCTTGGCAGTTTGACATTGCCAAGTTTAAGAAAGCTGTGTTATCTATTAGGAGCTCAGCGGCGTCTACACCAATGGCAGTCAACGAGGGTAAGTAGCTTTGGATTTTGAACTGAAATCAATGCAAAATTTGCATTTCCCGGGGAGCTCACTCTAGACCAGTGTTGTCCAAACATTTATTTATTGTACCCTTTATTATCTTTTTGTAGTTTTACGCCCCCCCCCCCCCCCACCATGGGTAAACAAACGGTTTTATTTAGGCTAATGCAAATGATATACTAATTATGAAAAGACTGCATTGTAGGAGTGTTGGTCAATAAATTCGAATTAAATAAACGAATAAAAAAGATGATTTAATAACAAAATGCTTGAAAAATACTTACACAACTTAATGCGAGGTGTGTGTGTGTTCCTTGTTTGTTCACGTACCCTTAAGATCTACGCCGCGGACCCCAGTTTGGACAACGCTGCTCTAGACCTCAGTCTCAATGGTCTTAAAACAACAGAGATGCGCGTTTGTTTACCTTCGGCGAAACGCAAACTTGCAGGATCGGTTTAATCGCCACAATCCTGTTCACTCTGGCGCGGGGCATCCTCTGGTCCTGCCTCAGGGCTTGGCATCTGTCCAGCAGGTGTGCCTTCCGCCTCGCGTTCAGGGACTCGAACCTCTCCCCTTCCGCGAGGGTCGTGTACCCGAAGGCGGAAGCGCCCTCGACGCCGCTCTCCTCCCGTGCCCTCACTCGCGCCACGGGATCGGCCGTTGTCGGTTCGCTTGTCTCGGTAAATGTTACATCTTCCTCTATGTCCTTTTCGTCCGTAGTTTCTCTTGCGCCCCCTTCGGTCATTGCATCCGTTGTTTCCTCTCCGGGTATTACGTTTAGAGCGGCCTTCTCTTCGGGCTCTACGTCTGTTGCGTCCTCTTGGACCAGTGTTTCGAGCGGCCGCAAATTCTGCAAATGAATCAGTGTTAAGATTGTGAGTTTCTGTTCGCAAATCAAGTTATCCGTGTAAGAATGTGACTGGCTTTCTGAGAGAGAGAGAGAGAGAGAGAGAGAGAGAGAGAGAGAGAGAGAGAGAGAGAGAGAGATGAGAGAGAGAGAGAAGAGAAAGAGAAAGAGAGAGAGAAAGAGAGAAAGAAAGAAAGAGAGAGAGAGAGAGACAGACAGACAGACAGACAGACAGAGTTGCATCCTGTGGTTTCTACACTTTCAAGACATCTTTCCACATAATACATTGCCGTCGGTGTACAGGTGTCTGTCGATTTCGTCATCACAGATATATATATGTAGGAAAAAATATGGAAAATAAATATCTTATCGGCACAGATTATTTGACGAGTTCCGGTAAATTATAATCAAAAACACGTATTTCTGATGAAAGTATTAATCGAAATGCATCAAACTCAGTTATAAGGCTGTCACACCTGCACAAACAGTTCTTACCAAGCCAAATATATAAGAAATGAAACCTAACCGGGCGCGTGAAATAATGCACAGAATACATAATTGGACTCCTTGATGAAGGTTCGAAGAGCAATTGCCGATTTTGTGGGAAGATTTAAGGATCTGACTTTTTATGGGATCGGCTTGATACGATGTCTAATTGTCGACCTGCAATAACTTATCGGTCTATGTCATTAATATCTGATAACGATCTGTTAGCAAAAGAGGTAACAAGGACATTTCCTCCGGCGATTGAACTAGTAATTTATAATAAGGTAAAAGCGACAGGACCTGGTTAGACAGTCCAATCTTTCTAATGCATGTTTGCTGAGGAACACAGGTGTGGCAACAAATTACATATACATAAGTGGGATTTATTGATAACCCTGAGAAAACGCAGGTGCAATGGCTGATCTCTTTTACATAATTGCCGCCTATAGTAAAAAAAATAAAAACTTGATACATTAGGCTTTCGATGAGCTGCCAGTAGGCCTATTTCTTTTAACTATATGACATTGTAGAACGATTTATACTGAGAGAGAGAGAGAGAGAGAGAGAGAGAGAGAGAGAGAGAGAGAGAGAGAGAGAAGAGAGAGAGAGAGAGAGAGAGAGGAGAGAGAGGGGGGGATCCAGATAATTTTCTGTTACGGTTACACATTGTTTATGTTTTCATCTTGCTTTTCTTGGCCACATTGAATCTGCTGGCTGTACTTTTACCAAGTGGATGTCGATAAAGAACTTTACGCATTGATTGACATTACGGCGAGTCAATGACGATTGGAGGGGCACACGGAGTGGCCAATCAGATTGCAGGGGTCGGGTGCCCCCGACCCCCCACAGAGAGAGAGAGAGAGAGAGAGAGAGAGAGAGAGAGGAGAGAGAGAGAGAGAGAGAGAGAGATGAGAGAGAGAGAGAGAGAGAGAAGAGAGAGAGAGAGAGAGAGAGAGAGAGAGAGAGAGAGAGAGAGAGAGAGAGAGAGAGAGAGAGAGAGAGAGAGAGAGGAACGGAGTGAAAGGGTGAGGGCGAGAGAGAGGAGGGGAGAGAAAGAGGGTGAGAGCGAGAGAGAGGGCTCTGTCACACTGTCACCCAAGCCCTCACACGTTTCTTCATACAGAGTTATGCCTCCCCTTTCGGCGCCATGTATTCCTCTATCACTACACGCCGTAGCTAAATAACATCATGCCACTGCAGCTTTTACGTCTCTCCACACAGCCCTTACGACTTCCAGACATCATCTCACTTCTCAATGCTTTGTTAAACTATAAATTCCGCTCGTTTTATTTTGTCTCTGGCTGCCGCTATCTTTATTCGTCAAAGTATTCTTTGTTAAAGTATTTCCTTGCCGTCTTCAATCGCTGCAGCTTCCGCAATGTCCTTTCCTTTCTTGATCTTTTATTAAAATGTCATACTATCACTTTTTCCATCAAATTTTGCGTTTTCGAATGAACTTTCCGTAACAAGTAAACAGACATGGCGCTATCGGAGTGAGGTCCCGGGAATCACATAAACATTCTCATACATATTACGTTATTTTATAAGGAATATGATGATGTATATTGTATATACGAATTTCTAAACTATTAGCTTATACTTACATTTACTCATGCTATCTAATTTATCAATAAAAACATTCTAGTTGTATAGATCCTTCGTAGCACAAAATCAAGACGGAAATTAGTCAGACGGAAACGGTCGCAACCGTCTTCGTCTGGGAGGTGTTCCGTTTGCAAATGATACTTGCGGAAAGCCTCAAAATTAGACGGAAATGCAAAAACTGACGGAAAAGTGCTAGAGTGATAGGGCCTTTAGTCTGGCAAGTCGACACATGTCTTTCTCCATTGTCTGTGTTCAGCTCGTCAGACAGTATTCTCAGCTGTCTTTGCCTTGCACCCCTGGCTACTTTCTTAAACTCTCTGACCATCACATTTTTTTTTTTAACCAGCTTCTTTTTCTTTCTACTTTCATGAAACTCCATTCTATCATCAACGTCTCCTCGAATCCCTTTCTGTGTCTAGAAGTCACATCAGGTTCCTTCCTAGCTGTCTTCCTCGCCGCTTCTAGAGTAGGCCTACTTCCACGTCTTTTTTTTTTTTTCAAAATCCACCACTATCTGTGCCAAACACGCCCATTGAAGTCCAGTATCACCAACTCTTCTTCCTTGTGCTCTCTCTCTCTCTGCCACTTCATCATTCTCGCTTCAGAAATCTTTTTCCCTCATCTCACTGCGAAAAGCATTTGCTGACGACATTCACCATCACTTCTCCAACATCCAGCTCCACAGGCAGCACCGTCAGATACTCTCTCTCCACCTCCAGCACACTCATAGCAAACTCTTCTTGGAACTCCATTGCTCCCGCCATTACTCCCCTTCCACTGGAAAGCGAAAATGGGGAGGTATAGCAGATGGCGATAATGGAAGTGTAAAAACATGATGAGGAGGAGAGAGGAGAGGCTGGTATGAAGCAAGGGAGAAAGAATGAGGGAAGTTGGAGTCATATGTAGGAGAAAAGTGTTCGGGAGACGAAAAAGAAATAGCAGACGAGAGAGAGAGAGAGAGAGAGAGAGAGAGAGAGAGAGAGAGAGAGAGAGAGAGAGAGAGAGAGAGAGAGAGAGAGAGAGAGAGAGAGAGAGAGAAAGGCAAGGAGAGGGAATGAAGGAAACAGCGACAGACGGCCAGAGATACAGAGATGGAGACGAAACGAAAAGTTAACAGACTCCTCCCACAGTTTCAAAAGTTAGACTGCACTTTTACCTGAGTGACAAAAAAACAGCGACAGACGGCCAGAGATACAGAGATGGAGACGAAACGAAAAGTTAACAGACTCCTACCACAGTTTTAAAAGTTAGACTGCACTTTTACCTGGACATTCTGAGTGACAAAAAAACAGCGACAGACGGCCAGAGATACAGAGATGGAGACGAGACGAAAAGTTAACAGACTCCTACACAAGAAAAGTTAGACTGCACTTTTACCTGAGTGACAAAAAAGCATAGAACTGCCGCCGAAACGAAGAGGCCCACCAAACGCCTTTTCGCGCTGTAGGTGGAGGTCATGTTAACCCTTCAGCTGCACTGAACCACAAATGGAACTCGCAAAGCTTTTAACGGTAATAACTAAAACACCTGGACACCTGGCGCATTACCATTTCAATTCAAATGTACAACTAGTTTTGATTACCAAATACCATTATCATTGGACACTTGACAGGAAATGATATCCTATCCTGATAAATTTCATGTTGTTTCTAAACTTCCCTTTTATAAAAATCTATTGACCCCTCATCGTAATATCTGAGTAAGCATGTTGTCATTGGCTTTGCCTGTGTTGACAAAATTTCTTCATTACTCTTCCTGGCAAGCAAGACCATTCAATAATTTATGCTGTATTATTATCATCACCATTTATACAAAGTCACTTTCAATAGCGCATCTTAACAACAACAATTACCCTTCAGTAAATTTCTCTCGTACAGACATCATTCTATCCATCATACCTTAAGACTGCAGTTTTTCCATTAGTGAAGAAAGTTAATAAACCCATTAGAATATCATGTAATAAACTGGACGTGAGTGACATGAACTTAATTACTTGCTTAATCGCTTGGTAATCATCATCATTAAGTTTATCAAAATATAAAGATTTTCCTACAGATGATTATAGGTGCATGCGGTCAGGAAAACCATTGTTATATTGAGAGAATCTATTTCACAAATCAGAGTTTCATTTTGGTAAAATATTGATATGCACTGGATAGGTCAACCTCAGAATATACAATTATTTCAATTGCATTCTACTTTTGCAAATTATTTTTTTTGGGGGGATATAAACGAAAAAGAAAGAAAATCTCTCCACGTAAATAAAAAGTAGACTTACAAGAACAGGAAAGTATACAAAATCACTCTAAATTATTTCCATAGATTAAAACAGTTATTGATGCTTTGAAAGAAAAATGGTTGACACGGTTCAAGTGGATACACCTAAAAGCACTCAAAACTTACACTTGAAACTAATGACAAAAAAACTAAACATGCCACTCTCCGTTGTTTTTTTTCTTTTTTTTCTTTTTTCCGTTCTCCATCTGTTCTTCGTCATATTATCTTCTTCTGTATTCTTTCTTGTCATTTATTGTCTTACTCGTATTCTGTTCCGTAAGAATCATTACTCGTCTTCCTCTCTCTCTCTCTCTCTCTGCCTATCTCTTCCTCTTCATCCTCCCTATCTCTCTCAGTCTCTCTCCCTTCTCTTCCTCCCTATCTCTCTCTCTCTCTCCCTCTTCCTCCTCCCTATCTCTCTCGGTCTCTCTCCCGTGTCCTCCTCCCTATCCCTCTCGGTCTCACTTCTCGTCCTCCTCCATCCCTCTCGGTCCTCGTCCTCCTCGCCCGCCCTACAGCATGTCCCTCATCCTGGACACCTCCCTCTCCAGCCTGCTGAGTTCGAGGTTGAGGCGCGAGTTGTAGGCGTGGGCGCACCCCAGCGTGGTCCTCAGCTTGGCCAGGTGGTCCTCGTTGCGGCGTCGGTAGGACCACGTCCTTCTCCGCCTCCGCCTGCTCTTCAGGACTGCAGGGTGTCGTCGGGTGTGCTCGCCTGCGGGAGGAGTTGCGGTTAAAGGAAGGGTGTCTATTAGATGTAGGTATGCAGAGTGTGCCGCAGTATGTCTTATACAGGCATTTTAATGTTGTCGACTAAGATACTCTATGGTATTCATAGCGAGCTGTGAAAAAAAACATGGACACACAGGCATTTTGCGGTGTGGAATATAAAATTGTATTTATAGTGTATTCTGAAAAGGCAAGTACCTCTTGTTATTCTACAAGGTGGCTCTTTCACTCTTAATAAATAATCTTTCTATCACTTCTCCTATCCCCCTCCCCACCCCCCTTTCTATCACTTCTCCTCCCCCCCTTAAACTGAAATTCTCATTTAACTCTGTTGTTGTTGTAAAGCATGACCTCAATGGCATTTTACGTTGTGGAATAGGAGACTATGGTCTGTACAGTGAAAAAGGTGGAAACTCATGTAAACATAGGCATTTCATGTTGTGGGTCAGAAGACAATATGGTGTAAGATAGTATAGGTAACTTCGTCAAAAATAAACATGTATGTATGAGTTTATGCATGTGCGTGTTTGAGTTTTATGTATGTATGAGCTAGTGCACGTATGTGAGTTTGTGTATGAGTGTGCATAGTGATGTGTGTATGCAAACCTAACCACATGGGTGATGATGGCTGACAAAAGATAAAAACGGTCAATAAAAATGCTGCAACCCCGGTGACTATCATAAGAAATAGCCATGCATAATCGTTATAAAAGATAAATATTTATAAGAAATAGTTATAAGTTATAAGAAGTCGTTATAAATAAGAAATAGTTATAGAAAAGAAAAAAAAGTTAAAGATATGAAAATCATAAGTAAGAAATAGTCATAAATAAGAAGAACGTCGAAGTCCCCAAGAGTACGTAATTAACACACCTGTTGGCGGAGCGACTGCACGGCCCCCTTCAGGTGCTGTACCTGCGACTTGAGCGGCTCCACTCTGCCTGGCGAGTGCCTGAAGGATTCCTGGCGGGACCTGAGGGCCGTGACCCGCGCTCGGGCCTGCATCACTTGCTGGTAAAGCCTGTCTTTGGCCAGACACTCCTGCTGGCCCATCTCGTAGCAGGCCATGCGCATTCTGGCCATGCCGTCCAGGCTGGCGGTCGCGGAGTCGATGTCTCGCTCGACCGCCTTCACCGCCTCCTCCTCCAACAGGACCACGCTGGCGCTGGCCATCATCTGACGGTGCCGCGCCGACAAGGAGTGCTGCTGCGACAGCTCGTAGTGCAGGCCGCGGTGCCGAGCCTCTGTGTCGCTGTGCCGCTTCTTCAGGCTCTGCAGGGCGCGCTTGGCCTCCACCAAGTTCGCCTGGGCCTCCCTCGCCTCGCTCTCGGCGGCCTGCAAGTCGTCCTTCGCCTTCCGGTGCTCCTGCTCGAGCCTTTGAAGGGTCTCCTGGAATAAAGAAAATGCAGGATTTATATAGATAGATAGATAGATCGTTAGATACATAGTTAAAAATATATATACATACACACATATACATACACATACATACTACATAATATATCTATAATATATATATATATATATATATATATATAGAGAGAGAGAGAGAGAGAGAGAGAGAGAGAGAGAGAGAGAGAGAGGGGGGGGTTTAATAGATAGATGTAGTTAAATAGATACATAGTTACACAACGTGTGCATGCATGTGTGCGCGCGTGTGGGTGTAACCCAGCTATATCTATATCTAATTACAATATTCTACATATTTATGTAAACTTGCATGTGTTTTTTCACATATGTATCTTCACACATATATATGCATATGCATTTACGCTTTACCATTGCTTCACCTTCTTATTTCTCCTTACCACACTAGACATTCCAATGTTGTGTTGTCTATCCCTTCCGTAACAGCTATGTATATCTCACTTGTCCTCCTCCCTATGTCTCTCTCACTTGGGTCTCTCTCACTTGTCTCCTCACTATCTCTCAACTTGTCCTCCTCTATCTCTCTCGGTCTCTCTCATTGTCCTCCTCCTATCTTCTCTCGTCTCTGGGGTCTCTCTCGGCTCTGTGTCACGGTTGTCACATGCTAACTAACTTAACGGTCCTTAAACCACTGTCAAAGACTATATACTATATATAGTCTTTGCCACTGTGTAGGAAATGCAGACTCACTGAGGGGAGCCAAGGAGCAACACTTCTCTCCAAGGAGCGACAACTATGGGACAGAGATCTGGTCCGATCAGTATGCGGTAGGATCTCCTCTGTGGCTCCTCGGAGAAAGGTGCTGCTCCTTGGCTCCCCTCAGTGAGTCTGCCTCATCTCCTATGCAGTGTTGTGAGCATGTGACAACCTGTGACGAACAAGCAAGCGTTACATCAATACATATCTGTTGTGGAAGGGATAGACAACACAACATTGGAATGTCTAGTGTGGTAAGGAGAAATAAGCAGGTGTATGTAATGGCCAGGCGTATATGTATATTATGTGCATGTGTGAAGGTACGTATGGGACAAACATGTAAGATTATATAAATGTGTAGAATATAGTAATTAGATATAGATATAGCTGGGTTACAGTGTGTGTGTGTGTGTGTGTGTGTGTGTGTGTGTGTGTGTGTGTGTGTGTGTGTGTGTGGTGTGTGTGTGTGTGTGTGTGTTGTGTGTGTGTGTGTGTGTGTGTGTGTGGGTGGGTGCGTGCGTGCGTGCGTGTGTGCGTGTGTGTGTGTGTGTGTTACGTAAATAGAACAAGAAAACAATATTGCTCTAACAACTTTATGTATGCCATGTATGTTTTTTGGACTTGTAAGAATAAAGGGAAGAAGACAGATGTGAAGAAGGTTAACAATAAACACGGATAATTGACATGGCTACGATAAAAGTCAAGCCGATAAAACTGACAATAACTTTTTCCCTTTTCTTGTTTTAGTTCCAAACACCGAAACCCACGTCTAAAGTACTATCATTTACATTATGGTTTCTAATAAAAAAAAAATGACGTGAGTTTGAATATGTTTGATTTCAATACATATAAATAACAAAGGGTGTGATTTTAAATGGCCAAACAAAAAATCACATTGCAATGATTGAAAGTTTTATAGTGTCAAAAAACGGCGAAAATGGAGTCAAATTTAAAGCTAGAAACATGAATTTATCGGCTCCATGTGGATTCCGGTGTCGATACACTGACCACTAACACGTTTTACATGAAATCACTATTAATTTTCAACAAGCATTCGACGCAAATTATGACGTTTATCATCACTATGAAATCGTCGTCACTTCTACAACGAATTATGTCTTATAACAATCCTATCAAACGTCTTATGAATAACTACGAGCACTCTAAAAGATGGCGAGATAGCTAACAGGGAGTTGCACTACTCCCAGACACACTACCTCCATTGTTGTTTTCGTTTGGAGTGATTTTATGAATGAATTGCCACGTGCGTCTCAATGGCTGTTTACGACTCGTTTCCGCTAGCGTCGCTCAGCGTTTCCATCAAAGTCTTCGGATTTTCGCTAGATTCGGCCTCATGGCGCTCTAAGTCAACACTGAGAGTATCAAATGCTATGTATGTGTCATATCGAGTCAAAGGGGATAGTATATAGCAAATAAATGTCACTTTTGAAACCTTCGCTGAGAAAGGATATAGGTTTCAAGAAGAATGGGAAATGATTTGTAGCAATTTCAGATATCTTTTAGTGCTAATGTCTCTCGATTCAAGTATGAATTCATGTATAGTTAAAACTTTTTCTATCGTGAGTGAAAATTACTAATCGCAAATATATGAAAACCTGGTAAATTTCCCCACATTATAACCCGGAACACGCTAAATATATCGGGAAAATAGCAATAGAATGTCAACGCTGCTTTTTAATTGGAGAAAAACTACCATATATCAGAACGCTGTTTTTCTTTCTTTCTTCTTTCTTTCTTTCTTTCTTTTTTGAGAAAACGCTAAATATATCGGGAAAATAGCAATAGAATGTCAACGCTGCTTTTTAATTGGAGAAAAACTACCATATATCAGAAAAAATACATGTATTTCTTAATATGAATATTTTTCGTTTGACTTGATCAGATACATATATCAATATATATCTATTTCATTTTTTCACATTTCCCCTGCCTATTTAGTTAATTCCGCAGATTCCAGGATATTCGAAAATAAAACAAAGGAAGGTTATGATACTCAGTAGTATATATAAATGTTGTTAAACATTCAAAACCTGCAATTTTCTATATCTGTCGAATTCGAAGCAGCAATCAAGAGAGTCTATACCTTACGTTACACATAGGCCTACATCTTTCATTATGAGCAAGATACGGACCTACACAATATTGCTCAAAGTTAAGAACATGCGTAAGATTTTGAAAAGAGGGACGCAAAGGTATGAAAAATAGCACATAGTAGTTATTTCTAGTATACAGTACATAGCAGAGATGATACAGAGAGGAAAAACGACGTAAATGAACATAACAAATACGTTAAACACAGTATCATATACTGTATGTAAATTTCTATATAAGATATAAGATGATATATTCCATAAACCTTCACAAGGCAGATATATTTAATGCTTATTATCCCATACAGATATATAATCAACCTATGATTATCGCTTGATTTAACTGAAAGAAATTTCCTTTAATTTATGTTATTAGGGTATTAGACTACTTGGTGTGCGCATCACGGCATGTAACGAAGCATGTTATTTAGAGCGAGACGTGCCACCAAAACGAAGCCTCTGAACCCACATGCGACTTTAGTTTTTATGGAACACCAAAAATGAGAGAGAGAGAGAGAAGAGAGAGGGAGAGGAGAGAGAGAGAGGAGAGAGAGGAGAGAGAGAGAGAGAGAGAGAGAGAGAGAGAGAGAGAGAGAGAGAGAGAGAGGAGAGAGAGAGAGAGAAGAGAGGGAGAGAGAATAAAGGAGAGGGAGAGAGAGAGAGAGAGAGAGAGAGAGAGAGAGAGAGAGAGAGAGAGAGAGAGAGAGAGGAGAGAGAGAGAGAGAGAGAGAGAGAGAGAGAGAGAGAGAGAGAGAGAGGGAGAGAGAAGAGAGAGAGAGAGAGAGAGAAGAGAGAGAGAGAGAGAGAGAGAGAGAGAGAGAGAGAGAGAGAGAGAGAGAGAGAGAGAGAGAGAGAAGAGACAGACAGACAGACAGACAGAGACAGAGAGAGAGGCAGAGACAAAAAGAAAAGCGAGAGAGAATGAGAGAGAGAGAGACAGACAGAGAGACAGAGACAGGGAATAAGGGAGAGGGGGGAGAATGACAGAGAAGAGAGAGAAGAAGAATGGGAAGCTTGATGATCCGTGGGTTCGCGTCATCGGCCTAGTTTTGGCGCCGAGCATACCCAGGAGGCAATACCTAAAACAATCTCATTTACAGTGGCATTGGTGATATAGATCCAGCAACGAGGCAAGTGAAGGAGTCAATAACAACTTCAAACGCACCAAGGAGGGTTACTACGCATCCGCAAACTCCAGCTGTACTTGCCACGACGTGTACTGTGCGAGGAAGTACATCAGTGGAATACACAGAATGTCTTTTAGGGGCGGTTCAACATTTTAAACATTTTCACAGGCGTACAAAGAGCGCTCCTTTTTGCCGACCCTTCCACCCTACCCCTAAAAGCTTAACCTGAAAATGTTGTCATGACGTGTCCTTGAACAGATTTGCTACCCCGATAAAAAAAAAAAAACTTGACAGGGAGTCATTTTCATAATCAAGAGTCATTTTCAATCGGGAGAAGTATCGGGATCATTTTCAGTTGGGACAGATACAATACAATACAAGAAAAGAAAAGAAGAGAATTTAAGATTCTCGAAGGAAGAAGAGGAAGAGGAAGAACTAAGATAGTAGCTAGTACGTAAAATGAAGTATTAGAGGGAGATAATGAGAGGTAGGGGGCGTAACCCCTTGCTACACATAAATTGGAGCTTGGTCAGTGGGACAAACATCAGGATCAGGTATCAGTATCAGCCACAGATACTGAACACTCGATACGATCCGACGTCGACATTTTCACCAAACTTAAAAAGCGTGCGAGAAGATTAATACTCCCCCCCCCCACCCCCACTCACCTACCCCCTCCCTTAAGTGCGCTTTGGAAATGTTGAAAAATGTAGAAATTTTTGAACCACTCTTACACCAGATATCGACAGCGTGAGCACAGACTAACGGCGAAGAAGACGGGCGAGATCTCAGCTTAACACCTGGCAGCGATAAACGTCAAAAGATACGAATGGCGAGACCAAAGTTACATACGAAATGAAAGGTATTTTAGTTTTATGTTTCCACACGTTTTTGTTGCTTTTTAATGTTTTTTTTTTTCTTGTTCCGTGTTTTAGCTAGTGATCCATTTGTCAATGTTTTTTTTTTTTTTTTTTTTACTTGATTTTTTTGTTGGTAGGTTTGTGTATGTACTTGCTCGCTACCATTCATTTGAAATGCAATTTAAGTCATATGTTGATTTGATCTAATGATTTACTGACATGTTTTATTAAAGAAATTTATGTAAACACGTATGATATTTCCATGGACTACAAATTAATTTCATATGTGTATTTTTGGTATATTTCTTATTTTCATGTATGATCATATGTCCAGCGCATTTGCCAATAACATATCTACCTGTGTGTGTGTGTGTGTGTGTGTGTTGTGTGTGTGTGTGTGTGTGTGTGTGTGTGTGTGTGTGTGTGTATGTGTGTATGTGTGTGTGTGTGTGTGTGTGTGTGTGTGTGTGTGTGTGTGTGTGTTGTATGTGTGTGGATGTGTGTGTGTGTGTGTGTGTATGTGTGTGTGTGTGTGTGTGTGTATGTATGTGTGTATGTATGTGTATGTGTGTGCTGTGTGTGTATGTGTGTATGTGCTGTGTGTGTGTGTGTGTGTGTATTGTATGCATGTGTATGTGCGCGCGTGCGTGAGTAAATCTAAAGCGTGGAGATGTTGTTCCAAGCCAAAGATATTCTCTGGGAGGAAGAAACATGTCTTGTTTACTACAGCAGAGCGTCCTCGGTATCCATGGCAACCAAGCGTGAAATGAGGCGCAATACACCGTAGACTTTTATCATCAGCAGCGTTCGATGTTCTTCCTTCTCTCTCTTCCATCTTTAATTCTTTAAAATACCTGGGCGAAGACGTACGTAAGAAGTCTGTGATGATTATCTGAATTTTAGTATATCTTAACCTTCATAAGAAAAATAATAATCTGACCGCAGGCAAACAGAGATTACTTTGGAGAAAATGGATATCTTTGCAAATTTCTTATTTGTTTTAGCATAATAAATCATTGCCTCTCTTCTTCAGTTTAGATTTTAAAATTGTTTTTATCTTAGTTCTTGATTTTTGTGGGACAGAGAAAGCGAATAAGAGAAAGAAAATGCGAATGAGTGTGTGTGTGTGTGAGAGAGAGAGAGAGAGAGTGAGGAGAGGAGAGAGAGAGAGAGAGAGGAGAGAGAGAGAGAGAGAGAGAGAGAGAGAGAGAGAGAGAGAGAGAGAGAGAGAGAGAGAGAGAGAGAGAGAGAGAGAGAGAGAGAGAGAGAGAGAGAGAGAGAGAGAGAGAGAGAGAGAGTAAGGAAGAGACAGAGGATGAGAGAGAGAGACAGATAATGAGAAAGAGAGACAGATAGAGAGAGAATGAAAGACAGAGAGAATCAAAAAGAAAGATAGAGAGAGAATGGGAAAGAGAGAGACAGATAATGAGAAATAGATAGATAGAGAGAGAGAGAAAGAGAATGAGAAAGAAAGAGAGAGAGATAATGAGAATGAATTCTCTCCTAAATCGCAGTAACAAGCAAGGTAGATCAAAAGATGTGGTACAAAAAATGGGTCAATGAGAAGTTTTTGTGATTTCCTAAATGGAGAGATATGAGGGCAGATCAAAACTAATGGCGGAGGTTAAGTTGAGGTCTCATTCTTAAGCTACCACAGGTTAAGCACATCTACTACTACTACTACTATTACTACTACTGCTGCCACTGCTACTACTACACTTCTACTACTAGTACTACTATTACTACTACTGCTGCCACTGCTACTACTACACTTCTACTACTAGTACTACTATTACCACTACAACTAGTATACTACTGCTTCTACTACTATATTCCTATTCTGCTCCTTCTACTACTAGTACTACTACTAATAATAATAATTATCATAATAATAATAAAATGATTATAATTACTACTACTACTACTATTATTTTCCTACTTTGCTCCTTCTTCTACTACTACTACTAATAATAATAGTGATAATTATAATAATAATAAAATAATAATAACAGTAATGAATGTTAGTCTTATGACCCCACAGAGAAAAAATACAGATTTACACTCCATAGTGTACCATAATGGAACAATACGTGATTGAAGGCAGATCCGCACTCTTGTCGTGTATGGCAGTCCCGACTATAACCCAGGGGAATCTATGTCGCAGATTTCTCTAGGGATTTTGCATTGTTATTCATCATTTTCTATCTTTTACGTTTTCTAAAGGGTCTGCGAGCGTTGGCGGACCCAGTTTCTTTGGGTACTTTGTAGGGTAAACTATTTTATTATTGTTGTTATTGTTATTATTGTTGTTTTTGTCATTATATGATTATTTTTATTATTATCATTATGATTAGTGAGAAAAGTATCGTTTTCATCATCGTTATTGCCATCATCTTTATCATTATTTTTATTATTGTTATCATCATTATCATTGTTATTATCGTTTTTTTTTTTTTTTTTTTTTTTACTTTACTTTACTTTACTTTACTTTACTTTACTTTACTTCACTTTACTTTGACACGTTTATTGAGACATAAGTAAAATTAGATTTCATAAGGATGAGGTAACTTAGGTTATCCTCACCCTTACTTAATAAGTCCATGTGCGGGCTCACAGATCTACTACGAACTGGGAGTACCAAGTGTTTGCATTTATTTGGAATACTAGGGATGTCTCGTTTCGGTTTCTAAAGAATATGGTTTTATTATTACATATGGTTACTCTGATCATCTTTATTGCTTTCATCACCCACCATTATTTGAATTTTGTTATGACACCTGAACCCAGATCGAAAGGTATGGTTATCCTAAGTGGAAAAGCACTTTCTCAGTGAAATTACTATTATTTGGCTTGAAGCAGAGTAATTTCTAGTTTGCTCTTCCGTCATCTGATACGTAAAAACCCTTTTCATCATCTTTTGGGTGGTAGCTAATCTTTTCGTAGGTACTGTGGGGTTAATGCACTCATGGTAATGAAAAGTGGACTTCCTATCACTTAAAATTGGTCCTTTTCTTGCATGGAATACCAAAATTTCCTCCATGTTCGCTTTTTGTCATATTGCTTTATTTCTGCTTTGGCAAGTGTGCGTTTTTTTTCCTAAAGGTTTATGGCGCTTTAGAGATCAGTCCGTGGTAGCCAAGGAATTTGTTATAATATATCGTTGTTCTTATAAACAGATCAACTGATGTGGAAAGCATACTTCACTCTTCGCGATAAGGTTTTAAGGATAAACATTTTCAGGAACCAAATGTAAAAAGATGTTAAATAACTAAGTCCGAAGACTCAGTTTTGTCAACTATTAGATCATGTTGAAAATGGAGTGTGTCAAGTCAGTCAAGGAACGAATATGAATGTTTTACTGAATCCTTGAAGTACTCTTATTCCTGCATTTTTAAATACTAGATTTCCCCTACAAGGCGCCGTATCTTTATGCATTTGATTATCTTGTTGCATTTCATGTGTTTAAATCCAGCTTATTTGTGTGGCATAATGTGATCTATGTGAAGAAATGTTAAAATTTTATTTGAGGATTCCGGACACCTATTTCCTGCATTACCTGGTATGTCAAGAAGGGTGAGTGGGATGCAGTTCTGGTCCCCATTTCTCTTTTCATTTTGGGAAACTTTGACCCAACAATTTCTGCAGTATAGATATTATTTTCTTTTCAGTGAGAGATATACTGCATTGTATATTTTCTTTGTGATGTATCCTTTTTTGCAAAATGATGGATTTATAATATAAAGAAATATGCAGTCAATACAAAAGTAAGCCTGTGTTTTGTGATACAGATTGGGTGTATGGCATTGGCCTGTTTGTGTCCACAACAGGACTTTCAGAGAAACTGTTAAAAAACAACTTATATGCATATTGAATTATGTTAGGAATGTTAGGAGTTCAGGAATTATAAAAAAGTGTGATCTTCCTCATCTCCAATTAATCTTCTTTAGTAATATTCTATTTTGGCTCTTGACATTTTTTAAATACTTTAATACACCTATCTTTTCTTCCAGTTACATAAAAATAATAAATATTTCAATATACACATTTATTTACCGTTCACTTACAATAATTTCAATATGGAACACATTTAGGGCTCATGGGAAATCCCAAAGAAACAAATGACAATGCAGAATAACAACACGTTCTTTGAAGTCCTGTCATCAAGGAACAATATATTATAACAATTATATTCAAATTATTTTACATACCATAAGTGCAAACTATTTCCCTCACAACTGCTTAGTCTAAAACTCAGTTTCAAATGTTAACTTCCTTAGCAGTATTTTACGAAAGTAAAATACTGATAAAAGAAAAATCTACAACAGAAATGGAGAGAAAAAAGAGAAGTACATGGTACATGTTTCCTTGGGCTTTTCCACCAGTCACATCCCGTCGTGGCTGTATCAAATGCTTCTTGGTTCTCAAGTCTACAATGATCTCCCTTCTGTACTGGAAGGGTAAGCTTTTAAGTTCTCCATTTCAAAGTTTTTCCATTTATCCACAAATAACACACCATTATCAAAGAGCTCTGCTACAGCATATTGTCCCCATTTCTCCTTTCACAAACCTGAATGATGTGGTTGTTAAAGAGTAGTGTCACATGAATAAAATTGGAAGGAAAAAATATCAAGTTTAAATCTTACCCAACCAGTTATGTCTCCCAACTGCTTGTTTTTTTGTAGGATCCCATATTTTAATTGATCATTTCTAATTTGTTCTGTTCTGGTTGTCACTTAGAGTTTGTGCAGGCAGTTGCATGTGTTGGCTGCTGCGTACATGAAAACAACCCCTTAGATGCTTTTTACAATGTACTTAAAGGGGGTGGACTTAAAATTCCAATTGAGTAATGGCTGACACTTGTCTCACACCTACTCTACGTATACCGACACAACAGACTTCAACAACATGAGTAACAATTCATCAACCTCCTTGTTTGAGATTACGTCTGCGACATTCTGTCTGAGCTGCATGTAAGGCATAACTGTAGAATACCTTACTGCTCTGAAATTCACCTAAAATCAACTTCAAATATATATATATATATCTAAATTTAAGACTCAAAAATAAATGGCTGTCACAAAAGAAGGGGCAAAGGGGATAGGAGGGGAAGGGAAGGATGGGCACAAGAGGGGAAAGAAGGGCTTTGAAAGTTAACAGCACTGTTTTTTTTATTTTTTTTAACTGTTTTAGAATTTGCAAATATAGATGCCTCATTTACAAGCACTAGCAAAAATCCCAAAAAGCAAAATTCTACATCAAGCAAAATGATAAACCTGCTACATGCCCAAATGGAATGTTTCAAGTAAGTCTTTATATAAAACTCCCAAGCTATAAGCTTAGGCATGGGAAGAGGGGACATGTAGCCAAAAGGGGGGTGCAAGTTCAGCTGACTAGGCTGGTGCTGTAATCTATGAAGGAAATGACAGAATTTCAGACTAAAACACGCTGTTAACTCTTTGCCCTCCTTGAAAAACAATGGTATAAACTCTAGGCCTTGCTTGGAAAAACAAAGGCTTAGTGCAAACACCACCTTATATCCCCATTCCGAAATATCACTGGCTCTGGTCTTTTGTGATTCCATTAACATACTACAAAACCTCACAGGACATCTGATTATATTTAATTTAAATTTCTCTTATTTTACTAGTACCTCTCTAAACACATATCTTTAACCAGTTGATATTATAATATTTACAATTTACAATTTTATAGTACTTACAGCAAGAATTACAAAGCTGCAAATCAGACACACACCTGCAGTCATGCAGAAACACATACATACACATGCACACGGACACAGCTTTGTATTACCATAATCTATGAGCTTGTCTTCAATTCAGTAAATTGAAAAGCAAATATATGCAATCTGCAGGCTTTTCAAAATTTCTACACCTCCCCAGATGCAAGGCAAAAGTGACAAACTCTAAGCCCCATGATATTGGTCATGCATGATGACATACAGAAATGCTAATAACACTTGCAAGGATATGGTGACATCTGTTAAAAGATCCGAGTATGGTAAGAGACCACAACATGACAGTGAGGTTACAACCAGCTGTTCGACCTGTACAGTGTAAATATGGAGCAAGGTAAGAAGAGTTTCCGAGTCTATCCCATGCATCACCTTAACAAATTTTGCATTCCTTTCTCAATGACTCCTGCCATGCTAATAAACTAATACATTTATACCAAGTTTTCATTTTGCCATTAAAAAGTCAGCAAAGAGCAGAGCAAAAACCGGTCTTTCAAAGACGGCTACAATTTATTCCCTAATCTGATGATGAACTGGAATATTTGCATATCTTTGACACTTCAACCCAAACAAATTTAACAACTCACTGGGAATTAAAAAAAGGTAAAAGGAAAAATGCTACCGAAGAATCAGTCTAAAATGACACCATTTAAAGCTCTCATGTCTCAGAGTACAGGCAGAGCATCTTAAGAGCACAGATGATTATCTGACAGATATAGGTTTGGGTTGGTGGTGGGACTGTATGTAAGCCCAAGGCTGCTGGATTATCTGCAAGGCATCATTGAAAACGAACACACAATTCACGGTGCATTGTGAACCCCACAAAATTTTTGCCTCTGATCATGTCGTACACATAATGCCAAGGTGGGATCATGTGGCCAACTATGGTGAACTTGGAAAAATATTCAACTCCCATAAACCCTAAAGAAATCCTTTACCAGTAACTTATCCTGCATTACTGAGGTGCACAAAGCATCCTCTCTTTCTATCATTAAGAGATTTATAAATTCAAGCTGTGTTTTAGGAAAACTCCAGACAAATGTAATCTTTCTCACCTCAAAGAAAAAAAGCCCTACTGCTGCTGTGAAAATACAAAACTGACAAGTAATATGTGAAGACGATAGTTCAAGAGGATCTGTCAGGTCTGGGAAGAACTCTAACCTAAAAAATAATATCTATACATCTGACCAGTGTCTGCATATAATGCAAAACATGTCTTTGCTGCCTGATAACTCAACTAGAACCAAGTCAGGGCATAATTACATTTTGTAAAAGTCTATAATAATAACTTACTTTAGCAAGTGCTCTATACAATTATGATTTCTGAATATCCTTTCAAGTATTTCTGTCTATCTTACAAGTAAATGTATTCACATATGAGGAATGAAATGGAGCCACTGGTACATAGGTTCCTGGACATCGAGCAACAGGATGCCATATCGGACCAATGATAGGCACATAAAATTCTGCCAAGATCTCTGACGGATTCCCATAAAAAAAAGAAAGAAAAAAAATAATGTGGAATCTGGCTTACAACAGGCAAGCTATTCTATTGGAGAAGTGCATGAGTAGCTATCCTGCCAATAATTTTCAGAATAATGGGAAGGTAGGCGAATGAAGCATATCATTGCAACAGACTTCATAATCCATATTTCGTTGCCCCATTATTACCAAAATGTGAAAATACTAGAAATATTTCTTTTGCAATTCCCTAGTAAATCTGCAAACTATTCTGATACACATCTCATAGGACTTTTTGCGACATTCCTTCACTCTTTTCCTCCCACATTCATAACATATGTTTTGTGTTCTATGAAACCATAATTTTTTTTCCCAATTTCTTTAATAGTTTAAGCAGTGACTTGCATTATGCTTAAATGTCACAATACCAGAAGCTCTAACATGGACAGTACAAGTGCATGATATGTCCTGGCCAAAAGCTGGTGGCTTCCATAATCAATGGTAAGTTACCATGTCTCAAAAACAAAACCTTCTCGAAGAAAAACTAATGATGATGATGATGATAACCTAAATGAATGGCCAATAACCATATTACAGGGCAAGAACTCCAAAAAAAATAAAAAAATAAAAAAATAAAAAAATATATAAAGGACTAAACTGAACAAAATAAAGATAACAATAAATACTGAAAATCTCTTCTCTATCCCTCTATCTCATGGCAGCTTTCCCGATACACTACCTTTTCGACAACACTAAATGACATACCAACTAGGGGAATTTTCCCCACAATGCAATTTATCAATATTATGACATGATCATCTGATAGTGTTTCGATGTTGCCTCATGATAGATGTTAGCTTGGCTCTGACACTGTCAGAGTCGAATGTTAGAACTGCTCAGCTAATAATTCCGCTAGAATTCCTGAAGTTGACTCCTTGCTGGCACGGATGGTTAATCGGTACATCTGTGAAAGCAAGAAGACTTACTTATTATTATTATTCACAGTCTGTCACACCTATTTTCAATTAACAGACAAATGACACAAATATACAGCTAAGGAGGGAGGGAGGAGGAGAGAGAGGAGAGGAGAGAGGAGAGAGAGAGAAGAGAGAGGAGTGAGAGGAGAGGAGAGAGGAGAGAGAGAGGAGAGAGAGGAGGAGAAGAGAAGGAGAAGAGAGAGAGAGAGAGAGAGAGAGGAGAGAGAGAGAGAGAGAAGAGAGAGAGAGAGAGAGAGAGAGGAGAGAGAGAGAGAGAGGAGAGGAGAGAAGAGAGAGGGAGAGAGAGAGGAGAGAGAGAGAGAGAGAGAGAGAGAGAGAGAGAGAGAGAGAGAGAGGAGAGAGGAGAGAGAGAGAGAGAGAGAGAGGAGAGAGAGAGAGAGAGAGCGAGAGAGAGAGAGAGAGAGAGAGAGAGAGAGAGAGAGAGAGAGAGAGAGAGAGAGAGAGAGAGAGAGAGAGAGAGAGAGAGAGAGAGAGAGAGAGAGAGAGAGAGAGAGAGGAGAGAGAGAGAGAGAAGAGAGAGAGAAGGGAGAGAGAGAGGGAAAGAGAGAGAGGAGAGAGGAGAGAGAGAGAGAGAGAGAGAGAGAGAGAGAGAGAGAGAGAGAGAGAGAGAGAGAGAGAGAGAGAGAGAGAGAGAAGAGAGAGAGGGGGGGGGGATGATTCAGTTCCAGAGCTGACTGACCTGAGCTTGGCGGTTTGGTTCAAGACGAAGAAGGCAGCCAATCTGTTGGGTTCGTGTGTGAATAATAGCAGCACACACAAAGTTCTCTGGGTTCGGGTCAATACCTTCAAGCAGTTGCATGCCGAAGCCCAAAAGTTTAGTCTTAATGGCCGCAGTCTCCATGGCTCCTGAACACTTGAAAATTTTTTGAGCCTCTTGCGAAGGTCTGGGGGTAAAATGGTTATATTTTCATAAAAAGAAACCACAAAAGCTACATAAATATTTTTCATACTTCAATACTAGTGACAGGTATAGAAAAAAAAAAAAAAATCCATTTGTTCATGCTATACTATAAACAATCTATTTCTACACTGTCTTCACAGTGAAAATTTATCTTGTACAACAACTGAGGCCCTCTACTCCAAACAGAGAATTCATCATACCAATCTACACTATTATTCTTCATACATCTCAATTCTAACACCATGAATAATGTCATTATGTAAGTCTATAGTCTTTTTATCTTTATAAAATTAGAATAAACATGGGCAAAAAAATTCTTTTTAAATGGGGGGGGGGGGATAGGTTATAGTTTTCTAAACTTTGCCAGTCTCCTGACATTTTTCATTTTGGTGTGAATCCCCTGCCTAATGCCAAGTAAATTGGCATTTCTTATTTACGGTATCGAGAAGAGACGGTAAGGGTCTCTATTCTAAATAAATAGACAAATACTCATTTTACTAGGTTTCCCATCCTCAACCTTGAATACCTATTTTACTAGCTGATTATTTACTAGTTTCTTTTAATGTAAAGAGGCCTTCTGTTAAGAATTAAAAAGGCAAAAATCCCTTGGTTGTAAATCAGCTTTTATCAAAATCAAATCAAAAAAAAGAATTGTGGTGCTCCTTGTTGAATTGAGGTAAGTAAAGTGAGAGGTCCATTCTGATATAATACTTTTAACTTGGCTGACTACCTATGTATTCTAAGAAAAAATATTCAAGGCCAATATTCTGAGGTAGTAGAATGGAAGAAGGTGTTGACTCAGCTGCAATATCAGCCTCTGGGTGGTGGCAAGGCAAAGGAGCCGAGCGTCAAGTTAGGTGACAAATCAATCACAGCTCGAGTCATGCAACCTTCCCAAATAACCCATGGAGAAAACGGGCATTACTCTCCCTCTTCTTCTCCTGTTGGGTTCTTTGTTTCCTCTAGCTAACATTTCGTCTTACTCTCACATTTTACTGACCACCTAGAGCCCAAAACTTCTTTGTTTTCATGTGCAAATCACTTATCTTGTGCTTGTAGGAAGAACTACAATAAAAATTAAACTAATTCTTGCCAAAAGGATAACACTTACGCGCTCAGGTTCTTCCAACGTGCAAAGAAAGATTCCCCATTCATGTCTGTTGGCTCAAAGAACTTGTTGATTGATAGTGGAAGATGAAGAGCCAGACGTTGTGGGACGTTTGCATATGTAAAGCTAACAATTAAATCGGGTAGACCTGTAATGAAGAAAACGATAACCTGTTATGTAAATTATTATCATCAATATAATTTTTATAATTATAATAATAATTATTATCATTATTATTAGAAGCAGCAGCAGCAATATCAAACTATTATAACAGATTTCTCTATTTGATGAAAATAAAAGAGCTCCTATATACTTTCAGCAAAAACTGAAAGAATACATGATGAATAATTCTACTACACTTGTAGTTTTAAAACATTTGTAGCCACATCATCAAATTCACTAACACAAAACACAATTCTTGAAACCTTTAAAGAAGCAAAAGATAAAAGAAAGGAACTTACCGGTGAAGTCTTCAACACATTCACAATTAACAAGTTGTTGGACCTGAGCTCCTGCATCAATAGTTGGTTCTACTGGCTTCACCTGCACTGTCACCTTGCCTTGCTGTGCCAAACCCACAGACACACTTGGACAAAAGGCCTGATAACAAGGAAAGGCAATATAGGTAAACAACAATCACTTGTGAAAGATGATAAAAGAAAGTTGGGCATTATGGAGAGAAGAGAGAAGAGGGGAAGGTGATGGGAGGGAGAAGGGAAGAAAGGGGAGGGGAGGGAGGAGGAGGGAGGAGAGGATTGGAAAGGGAGAGGGGAAGAAGGGAGAGAGGAGAGAGAGGGAGGGGAGGAGAGGAGAGGAGAGTGTGAGAAGGGAGGAGAGAGGAGAGGAGAGAGTGTGAGAAGAGAGTGAGTGAGTAAGTGTGAGAGAGAGAGTGAGTGAGTGTGTGAGAGTGGAGAGTGTGAGTGAGTGAGTGTGTGAGTGAGTGAGTTGAGAGTGAGTGAGTGAGAAAGTGTGAGTGAGTGAGTGTGAGAGTGTGAGTGTAATTTGAAAGTGCCTGAGGAAGAATGAAAGATAAGAAGCTACAGTTCTGAACCAAGAGAAAGTATGAAGGGAGGAGGGACAGATGAATAATACTAATAACAATTTTAGTCATCACTCATTGCTACAACTATGAACTCGTCTAACTGCCATGATCGCTGTGAAGATAAAACAAAAATAATTCTTCAGCCAAGGTGATTTTCTGAATGAATTGGTAACTTATCACTCTCTCTGAATTGATCACTGAACAACTGACTGTGTAACCAGTGGCAGGGACTGTGTGGCACCACCGCTAGCTTGGTTTCCACAGAAATATAATATCTGAGTATACCCTAAACTTTCCAATCACATACACTGATCTTAATGTAATGAATGGATCATGAGAAAAGTAATTAGGAGTTGACTGAAATGCAAACTTGAGAAGAAACATACTCTTACTCACATCATGACTCAAATTTAATCAATAATATGAGAAGCACAATTACTAATTAATGAAAACTGTAAACTTGATAACAAATATTAATAATCAAACCTAAGCCAAATATCACCAATTATCCACCATGAAACAGCCCTGATAGCATTAGGATTTAACCAAAGGATGGTGGGTCTCCTATCTATCCAGACTGAACAAACTATAAATGGTGCATACCACAGCTAAAAAAAACTCCACAGCCCTTCAAAATTGTTATGAGGGAATATGAGGCAGTTTGTGAGAGAAACACAGAATACAGAAACATACCTGCAATGGCATTGAAGTCTTGTTGCCATAGAATATGCCAATCCTACCAAGGTTTTGTCTAAACTCGGACTTTATACCAATTTGTATTATATCGTTCTCATACAAAACTCCATTGTTTTTACAAACAAATCTGTAAGCAAAGAAATTTTTATCTTAAACATCTGGTCTTATATTTTTTTTAATACGTAAAAACACAAAAATAACTGGTAAAAAGCCGTTACATTTGTCAACATTATAAATATCTTACACTCATATTCACAAAAAAATATCATATCCTCATAAAAAGTAGTCATATAACATGAAAAAACCTAAACAATTAACAATGGAAATTTACAACATGTAAAAATATAAAAAAATATGTTACACATTCTTTCTACTTTTTAAAATGAAAGTTTATATCAGATGTTTGAAAAAGGCATCTTACTCAAAATATCCATCAAATCTTTATATGACCACATGGATAAAACTGGGTATTCTCCCTAGTCACTTCTATCCACAAAAACACCATGAGTAATTGGAGACCATCTGATATTCTTTCTAGAAACAGAAATCTTGGAAAAAATCTCAGCTTGATGCCCACTGAGCTAAGTACTGATTCCGTAAACAAACATATCATGCTGTATCCTCAATTCTCCAGCAGATGTTTAAGCATTGTTTGATGATGAAGTTTGATTTTTCCTATTTATTACAGTATTTGAAGTATTGTGGTTTGTTCCATGTATTTCTCTTTCAAAACATGACAGAAAAGCAAACTGTAGGATCAGCAATGGGAGATACTTTTTGTGGTGAGTGCTTGTAGTTAAGTGTATGAAAGTTGTGTTTGTGCTGAAGATGTACACTAACTAATCCAATGGAACAATTATTTGCAAAGTACTTTCAAGTATCTAAAGACAATCTAAATGATCTAGAAGACATGTGCCTAGCTTATATGTAAATGCTTAAGTTTTTTTTTTTTGTATGCCTAGGAGCTTTTGGCACCTGCATTCCTGCAACCAAACCCCAGTGTATGTGGTGGGCTGACGATATCTCCTTTTTCATTACTGTATTCAATATGGATTATAAAAGAATTCTGATCTAAAAAGAGAAGTACTCACTTCTTAATATTGTCAGTTGCTCCCGATGTAGAGGCTGGTGATGGCGCTGCTGTCCCATTGTGAGTGTTTGTATTGCTTCCACCACCACTGCCGCCACCTCCATACAGGTCCCCTAACACGTCAACCAATACCCCTGTTGACAGATTTATGTTTCTAATAGCTTGCATAAAGATTTAATTCACAAGTTTTGTGGTTTTAAGAACTTAGGGCAAAAGTGTATTCAACTACAATCTTTAATCATCATACTAGTCACACTATAATGATAAATAATAAGAAATATACCATGTAAAACTAAACATGACAGAGATAGTAGGTGCTTAGACCTATAATGGAACTTACCAGTGTTACTCTGAGTATTATTTTGGTTGGCAGGTGGAGTTGACAAGCCTAGTAAATCAGCTGATGTTGAATTGTTCATCTGTAAATTAAGGTGATGATAAAATAGATAAAGAAAAAAGGACCTTATACTGTGTGTCCCTATTTTCAATTTCTCCATATTGACCTTATTTGGTACCTCCCAAGTATCTATATTCATAATTAAACATCTGTCATCATGGAAAACAATGACTGCATGGAAAACCTACCTGTGCCGTCTGAGTCTTCTCAACTGCTGGCGCTGCATTGCCTTCCCGAGCCTGAACTCTTGCCTCCCTTTGAGCTTCCTGCGCAGACATTCTTCCACTCTTTTTCTTTAGCACCGCTAAGATGGAAGATTCCTTCTCCGTGAAAGGAGGCATTTCTTCTAATACTGTTGCCTGAAATTGGAGTCACCGGAAGTTACTTGATACATCCAATAACATTAAAAAAACTGATACAAAAATATGGATTATGATCTTACCCTCAATCATCTAAAAGGAAAAACAAGGGTTGCAGTGCAGGAGATAGCATAAGGAGGAAGATGAGGAAGCCTAAAAGTAATGAAAAGGAGGAAAAAGAGGAAAAAGAGGAAAAAAAGGAGAGGGGGGCAGAGGGAGAGGTAAAGTATATATATAAAAAAAGGATGGCATAACACAATGACAAGTTGAACAAAACATAGGAATTAAGAGGTGGTCAAAGAAAACTTCATAACAGACAATGAAAAGAAAGTATCTCAAAGAAAAAGAATACAAAAATAAACAAAGTACAGAGAAGCATCATGATCCTCACCAAAAAATAAATGCATGCAAAAAATGCAGTATTCTCACCAGAACATCAGTTGTGGTAATGACTGACAAGTGCAGGTACTCCGAAGCCCTCTGTTGCAATTCTGCATCAGAGGAGCGGAGGTTGGAGTTCGACTTGAGGACATCTTGTATCTGCGTCTTGATCTCAGGGAAGAGGTTAATGAACTTGATGTAGGTGGTGAGGAGCAGTGCACGTGTTCCAGGGGAGCAGAGATGGTACTGCCGAGAGAAATGGCTGTTTTAGTACATCAAATCTCACAAAAAATATGAAGCCAACCTATCAATATGTGCAAATTCTTTCCAACCTTAGATTCCTTCTATAAAGCTTCTTACCTTTGAATGCAAAAGCTGGAACTGTACTGCTGGTGCTGATCTGGAGTCCCCTGCAATCAAGTTGCCAAACTCACCCAGGATGTAACCACCAACCTTCACCATATTCTCGTGACAAGCTGGGGCTTGTAATGCCTTTGAGAAAGAAAGATAAAATTAGAACAAGACTGAGAGTTTTAGGAACAAGTTTTTAAAAATCTGCAGTATTGCACTACTGCAACAACTGAGATAGCAGTCCAGATAAGTTACTGACACAAATTTCAATTAATGACTATTTCTACAAGGGTTTTATCAAAAGGAAAAATCATTCATCTTCATTCAATTTAAAGACTATTCTCTCTCTCCTCACTTCCATTCCATAATAAAACTTACCTCAAAGACAGTTTTTGCAGCATAACCCTGAACATCCTCTCTGTTGACTACGATCTGTATAACACGGTACCAAACCTCTTCAGAAACGTAATCTCCAGCAATTCGGATGAGGTTTAAGATCACATCCACATACCACGTGTAGTCCTGTGCATATTTCTCTGCCAGGATAGCCACTTTCAGTACCTGAAAAAGAGAAAATAATTAATTCTATGATTCTTTGCTCTCTGTAACCATACTTTTTTTTACTCTAATTAAATCTACAAGAGTAGCATACACCATAAAAATCATTTTGCACCACAAAATGACCTGAAACTATAAAAATATTCTTCTAATCACAAGCAGTTCAAAAATTCCAAACTATAAATATATTCCTCAACTTTTAAAAAATATTCAAAATTCCCAATATACGTTGTTCTGCAGAACATTTCCACAACATTTTCCTCAACACCACCAAGCTCTCACCATTTCCTCTCGGATAGAGTAGTCAGCTGTCTCCAAATAATTCAACATCTCCTGCACAATTTCTTCAGCATTGCTGCGATCACACATAGCGTAAAGAAGATCAACAGCTCTCTGTCGCACGCTTACATCACGCTCAGTCTGCAAAATTAATATTTGCATCAGATCATGGTCCCTACTCTTAAAAAAACAGTAACATCAAGGTGAAAACAAGGAATCAAATGAAAATAAAAACAGGTAACAGACTGGTTGAAAAAAGAAACAAATAAAAGTAAAAACAAATAACTGACAGACTGATTTTATAAGTTGGCTATAATTTAGCCCTTGGATTCAGTTACTTCACAGTATATCCCAAAATATAGGCATTAGGCTTATGTGAGCAGCCGCTCTGATGGGTGTGCAGCTTGTAGGCCAGGCACATGCAAACACTCGTGTGCAGTAACTGAACTCTCCTTTGCAATAATACTTTCTCTTTTTATGCATAAGCGTTTTTAGCTTTTTTCTTTTTTTTTTCATTTTTCAGTGTCTATATCTACCATTTGATTTCTTTTATCCAGATGGTAATAGACTGTTTGCTTGTACAGACTCCATATCATCCCTCTGGGTAGTCCATAACTCAGTGCAACAAAAATAAAATTATGTAACTTTTTTTTTTTTTTTTTTCTATAACACAAACTGAGCATGGACAAGGTCTCCCCTCTGGAACTGGCACTCTTCCAGTTGTGGCTCAAGAACACTACATTCCACACTGGTTTCTCAATGGGAATAATGCAAAAGTCCTTCACTAAATGCCAAATGAGTCTAATGCACCTGTGGCGAGTTTTTTCCATTACTCAGCCTTCAGCTAAAATGCTCACAACAGCAAGTTCACGGCACCCGGCCCACAGTCAAATTTTCCAAAGACGGTATGCTAACGTCACCCACCCCTCAAGCCAAATGTTTTCATGAAATAATGGTCCTGTCATCTGGATTGAAAGGTTAACATATGGGAATACACCCGGCGGCAACGGGTTAATAAATTCTTGGTAGTTACACATATGAGCCCATACTCTATTTCAGGACTATTGGGAGAACAGTTGGCAACACAAAACTGAAACACCAATTTCAAGATAAAGCTAATGAAACTGGCATGCCTTACAAGTAAAAATTGAAAACAAGATATTTACCAAATGCTCTCTTGCATGGATAATTAATTACCTTTAGTGCATTAATGACAGTTTCTTGGTGCTTCTTGACAGCCTCATGGGAGAACTCAGAGGTGGCTAAGAGACACATGGTTTCCAAGGCCAGATACCGAAGGTTGGTCTCACGGTGAGAGAGGAATTGCCCCAGTTGGTTGCAGCCTCTCACTAGCAAGTTTGGCTCACTAAAACATAAAAGGTATTCTGCATAAGTCCACATCCATATGGCAAAGTCAGTAACACTATCAAAGAAATATTTCACAAGTTGACCCCTTTTTTGCACTTAGAATGTACTCATTTCAATTTATCTTCATCAATACAATATAAAGTCTTCAAAGTGACATCACGTCAAAAAGCTTTGTATCATTTTTGTTGATTTTTTTTATTTTTACTTAGAATGTATTCCTTTCAACATATCTTCATCACTACAATGAAGTCTTGAAAAGTGACAGCATATCAAAAATTGTCAATCATGCCATTTATTTCAGGTTGCTTACATCAAAAGACAAATCAATATCTGTATTAAAGAAAAGCAATTCTAACGATAATGACACTAACAAAGGTAAAAGGAAAACCCACCTGTCTGAGTGAATGATTATGCTGATGGCTTCAAAGAGAACAGCATTTTTGGCATTTGAATGTTGCACCTGTAAAGATAATTACAATATATCATTAATTCTTTCACATGTCAAAGAGATACAATACAAATGTACATTACAACTGTATCTCGCACGCTCGATTACACCATTCTTTGTTAAAATTATGCTTATATATGCCTACACCACCTGGAAATTCCCATGCCATAGAAGCCGGTTTTGACTACTTGATGGCTTTCGGATAGAGTTTGGTTAGCCAAAGCAATGATCAGTTTTGAGGTTATTAAATTGGGAGGGAGGGAGATAAGATAAGAGAGGTAGGAAATAGTAGGAGGTAAGTAGATGTAGGAGGTACAAAGAAGGTAGGTAGGTAGGCAAGATAGGTAGATAGGAAGTAGGGTAGGTAGTTAAGAGAGAAGGTAGAGTAGGTAAAAGAGAGATAGGTAGATAAGAAGAGAAGGTAGAGAGAGTAGTAAAGAGAGAGGTAGGTAGGTAGAAGAGAGTAGGGTAGGTACAGGTAGGTAGGTATAGGTATAAGTAGTAGAAGTAGTAGGGTATAGTAAGGTAAGGTAGGTAAGTAGTAAGTAGGTAGGTAGTAGGTAGGTAGTAGGTAAGTAGTAAGTAGTAGGCTAGGTAAGGTAGATGGTAGGTAAGTATAAGTAGGTAATAGAAGTAGGATATAGTAAGGTAAGTAAAGTAGTAAAGTAGTAGGTAAGTTAGTAAGGTAGTAAAATAGGTAGGTAGGTAAGTAGTTAAGTAGGTAAGGCAAGTAGTAGGTAGGTAGGTAAGCAGGTACAAGTAGGTAAGTAGGAAAGTAGTAGGTAAGTAGGAAAAGTAGAAGGTAAATAGGAAGGTAGGTGGTGGGGTGGGGATGATGATGAATGGATGATGGGATGGATGGTGGATGAATGGATGGATGATGGATGGATGGATGGATGGGAGGGGGGGGGTAGGTAAGGAGTATTGATAGGTAGGTATAGGTAAGTAGTAGGTAGATAGGTAGTAGTAGTAGGTAGTAAGTAGGTAGGTAGTAGGTAGGTAGTTAGGTAGGTAGGTAGGTAGGTAGGTAGGTAGGTAGGTAGGAAGGAAGGAAGGAAGACAGGAAGGTAGGCCTAGGCTGGCAGGTACAGGGTTCTTGCTGGTATTAGCTGATGAAATTAAAGACCTTTTTAAGACTTTCTAAGACTTATACCAATTATTTTTCATGACCTGGAGCCACTTGTCGCTGAATACTTACTTCCTGTAATGAATAGGCCTACTTGTCACAGTGACTAAGTAAAAAAAAAAAAAAAAAATCCGAACATGATTTTTATGTAGACTCTGATAGATTGCGCACATTTCCCCCCCCCCCCCCCCGGCCTATAAGTAACGGTCGCATCAATCAACAAAGGTCAAGATCTAATGTTGACAAATGATCCATTCAAGCCGTAAAGGGTGAATACCGACAGCATCCGCCAGTAGCAGATGTACATTCATGTGAACAAAGATGTGCCTTGGGCAAATTTAATACATCTTAAGATATGTTACATATAAAGTTCTGTTTTTTAAGACTTTCTAAGGCCTTAAATTTCCCAAAAATTATTGAAGGCATTTTAATACTTTCTAAGGATTGATAGGAACCCTGTAAAGAAGGTAAGTAGGTAGACAGGAAGGTAAGTAGGTAGGAAGATAATAGATAAATAGTTAGGTTGATTGGTTGGCTGTCAAGCAGGTATGTATACACACTGGTGTCAAGAGGGGTATAAGACAAAACTGTTGCTTAGCCACCAAGTATTGCAGGAGAGCCAATGACATGATAAAAAAGTCAGCTAATTTGTATCTAATGTAACATAATCAAAGGTTGACTTTGGTAATGCATTGATATAATAAGATTCAATGGGTTACATGTCACTAATATAACCACCAGATAAATAACAGACTACAAACCTAAATAAAATAATATAGCATTCCATTACACAGGCCCATTTCTATACCAAACAGTGTCTGACAGTTTGTATTCAATTCATGTGTGCTCTTGAATGGATTACTTACTATATACACTATTTTCTAAAATCTTATTAATGAATAATAAATAGAGACAAATAATTATTGCTGCTATAATATTTTCTGAGATTCCTGTAAATTCATACATAAAAATGACCAGTTCATTGCACCTGACTAATTAGAGCAAAACTTTTCTGTCCTGTACTACATCATGACAACACCACACTTTAAAATGATCCACACTAGCTTGGTGTCTGGACACTGTTTATCAGATGTCTTTACACAATTTCTAAAATTCTGTATTTGTGATGAAATGCTTAACACAGAAATGATTGCATACTTGCTTTATGGTATAAATATTGTAGATACAAAATGCTACGATTCTTATTTTTCCCATACAACCGGCAACAAGTGCATCACTTTTGTTGGCAAATATACATATAGGATAAGTAAAGTGTAATCATGGGCTAAAATATAGGTGCAGGAAAAAGTGTAATGAGGACAAAGGTATACGTAAAGGTATGGGTATAAGTACAAGTATAGGCTTGGAATATGTGCAGGCACAAGTATAACTGCAAACACAGGTAATGGAGTAGACATGAGCAAAGATGTAGGAGTGAGGAAAAATATAGGTACAGTAAAGGTATGATCACAGATATAAGAGAAAGCAGAAGTGTGGGCCCAAGTGTAGGTGTAGGTGTTAGCATAGGAGAGTTGGTGTAAGGCGTACAGGTGTGGGAGGATGGCATAAGTGTGGATGTGTGTCTATGTAGGCATGTTCTTATGTATGTGTAAGCTTGTGTAGGTATCTGCATACACGTAGGAAAGCATATGCAAGTGTGTAGGTGTGAAAGTGAGAGCATGTTTTACTCTATATGTGTGCCACTTTGGTATAATTGCATGCAAGTGTGTAGGAGTCATGTGATGCGTGTTGCGCAGTGAGCACATGCGCATACGGCGTTTGTGTAGTGTTATATACCAAAGGATAAAAGTGTGCAGTGCATATAGGTGTGCTGGTGTGTTAGGGTTATAAGAGCTCTTCATACCTTTTTAGACTTTGGTGGTTCCTGTGCTTTATTGAGAATGGTATCAAGGCATTCATTGAGACGTCCCCTCACACCAGGGTCCTCTGGGGGCGGGTAGTGCTGGAGTAGACGCAGGAGCTTCACAGAGAGCCATGGGGCTGGAGTAGACGTCCATAACGTCCCCTCCAAGGGTCCTGCTGGGGGATAGCGGGCTTCAGGGAGCCACAGAGCCCATGGCTAAAACAAAGTAATAGGTTAGTCTGCTATCTGTGTAGCTTGCTGTCACTATCTGTGGTCAAAAAAGTTTTATTCTTTTACCAATTCCATTAAAAAAAAGGAAAAAATATACATGTTTTGCAGCTGGATGAACAATTCTCTATATCAAATATACTGTGCAAAAGTTATTTTAGTAGAGTATACAGATCACCATTCATAGTCTATACAATCTTGCACAAATCCTTAATTGCTCCTACAATGGCAGATTTTTTCCTTCAGTAAGTCCTAAAAATTTGTTAAAAATCATTGCTCAAAAAATATAATCAAACAAGATTGGTCTGACTTTCGTAGTAGCTATTTCCCCTTAAAAAAAATTGAGGACTTGAAGGAATGTAAAACTATGAATGTATTTGTACTAAAAATTAAGTGTTACATGTTGTTCATACAAATTCAATGCCAGAAACAACTTTCATGTGCTTACCCTGGAAAGTCTTGATACTGCAAGGGAAACACAACCCTTATACTCATCAGGATTCTTTTTAACAAGGGCCTCGATGAGAGAGCAGGCAGCTGTGACAACCCCCATGTGCTGCTCGTTCAGCAGGTGGATGATGCGTGACGTCCATTCTCCACCAGGTATGATCTCCTGTGTGGTTCGGAAGAGCCGCAATAGACAGAGGGCAGCTGACTGCTTGACAACATCCATGGTTTCTCTGCAAAGATAGAAATCAAATTTAAAAGATAGTATAAACCTATAAGCAAGTATTAACGTGATCTCAGTCAATATAACACTATATATATTTCTTTGTAATAAGAGAGACTAATATTTGTATTTTGCTTTGAGAATCTTACCCTGACACAAGCAACTTTGGAATGTCTGTGCCAAATGCATCTGCCATCTCCTTGGAACCAATGTTTGCAATGCACTGCAATGCAAGGTTAACATGCACAGGGTTTCGGGAGCCCAGATCATTCTGATCTCTGCACAATAAGCTGATAAGACCTGTTTTGTATTCACCAGAACAGAGATGAATAAATAAACCCCTGAAAATAAATCAATATACATAAGCAAAGAATCTACACACATTCTTTATTTTCTCCCTTCAAAGCTTGACAACCAAAATGAGTATTATACTAACACTTTTTCTTAATCATTAAGAAAACATTACTCGCTCAGGCTATAAACGGTAATGCGTACATACATAATAGCAACACCTACAAGTTAACAAATTGAAACTATACGACGACTGCTAGCATTCTGTAATCAAGCTCTACACTGAATCAGTACTGCACATTAAACAACATTCTCAGCCCATCACTTGAAAAAAGTCCATACTCCTACTTCATACACACTTTACTATCTGTGTCTACTGATCAGAAAGAGAAGGAAATATTAACTGTAGACGAAAGAGTAGAGAGAAAGATACACAGGCTTCCAGGTGTCCAAAATCACGAATTTCATGAGCCCAGTAAGGAATATGTGAACAGCAGAAATTAACTATACTACAACTTACTTCTTCTATAAAGCCAGTCCAGCTTTCTTGTCTTTCCTTGAATGGAACGGATTGGTTTGCCAGATTACCCTGTATCGCTTAAAACTTCCGCTTCTTTGCTTTACTAAATACATTATTCAATTCATATGAAGAAGAAGCTACACACAAACTCTAACTGAAAGTACTTCTAGAGTTTAATTTATCGTTCTGTTTCAAGACCTTTTTCTACATTTATAAAATCTCTCCTGTCAATCTAAACCTAATAGAAATTTATAAGGAGGCAATAAAAGAGCCAGAAAAATTTGACCCCATCAGACAAATTTATGTTCAGTTCTGAAATTCTGAGATGAAACCGCCAGCCTCGCATCCATCTCCACTACCACCATTGTATGTTGGCTTGGGATCCTGAAAGAGGAAATGTAAAAATAAGTACTTCATAGAGATATAATAAAATGATCTTAATTGATAAAATATCATGCTATCGCTAATCACCACTCAGCCGTGCTTCATTTAAAGAAGTAGAATGTTAAGTGCAGACCTAAACATCTGTTTAACCCTGCCCATGCATACACCTGAGAGCGAAAATGCCCGACATATACTCAGCAATTCTCTTTATAACTCTTCCCGACAGAAATGAAAAAAAAATAACAAAATCCATAGCACAGACATAAGCGATGATTGCCGAGGAATTCAAAATGGTCTCCTCTAAGACAAATCCAATACTAATCCCTGATGTATTGTTTCAATAACAGCCAATTTCGAAACGACGTTACAATGTAATAACGATCCAATCATACCAAAACATTAAGCACAGTTTCATCAAAGACCTATAAGCATATACTAG